CCACAATGGCTCGCGCGGCCGCATTCTGGACTAGCTGAAGTCGCCGAATACTCTTCAAGGGCAGCCCCATGTAACTAACGTACATGTAACTAACCAGTCTACCACTCTATTTTAACTAGTGAAATGGTTAAAAGTTTCTCTCCTTTCTCAGAGAGTCTTCGTATGAGGATGAGACCCACAAGGCAGCGCAGTCTTCGGACTGTTCCCTTCCGCCTTGTCCAGAAAAGAGGTACCTCTGCTGGGGGTGGAGGTGCCAACGGACATTTCCCTCCCCCTCGCTCCCAAATCCAGAAGGGTGGCAGGTGGCGGCCCTGGGAGCCTCCCTGGGGGAGAGGACTCCCTCCACTTCTCCTGCTTCCTCCCTCCCTTTCCTCCCAGGGTGCCCAGTGACAGGGAAGCAGAAAGCGAAGACGCAAACCCGGAGGAGCCCAAAACAAGGAAGAAGCCGGGACCCAAAGCTGGCTGGAAGAAGAAGATCAAGGGCGAAAGGTCTGGGAGGCTGCCTGGTGTGGGGCCTCCAGGGGAGCCTCCCGGAGCTCTGACCCAGCTGCTCTTTCCTTCTCCAGGGAGGAGCTGCCAAACATTTACAAGTGTCCTTATCAGGGCTGCACTGCCGTGTACAGAGGGGCGGATGGCATGAAGGTAAGCCAGGGCGCCCTGCAGGAGAAGCCAGTCAGGGCCAAGTTGGGGGGGGGAGGAGACACCCTATAGAGCAGTGTTTCTCAACCTTGGTGACTTTAAGTCCTGTGGACTTCAACTCCCAGAATTCCCCAGCCACAGGACTTAAAGCCACCAAGGTTGAGAAACACTGCTATAGACCCTAGAGAGAACAACAGCTGCTTAGAGTTGGAGCCGTGCGTTCCACCACAAGAGCCCCGGTTTCGCTGCACACTTGATGGAAAGCAGGGCTGGTGGTCCCAAAAGGCCCGATGACTCCTGCCATTGATGGAAGGGGGAAGGGGCGGAGAGGAGAGGAGCCAGGGATGAACCTGGCCGTGAAGGAGGAGGCCGGAGGACACCCACCCACCTACAGCCGCCTCTCTGGTTGGTTCTAGAAGCACATCAAAGAGCACCACGAAGAGGTCCGGGAGAGGCCCTGTCCCCACCCAGGGTGCAACAAAGTCTTCATGATTGACCGCTACCTTCAGCGCCACGTCAAGCTCATTCATACAGGTAGGCCCTGTAGCGTCCACCATTGCTCACCCGTCACGCCACCCGGTTGGCAAACGGCTCTTGCCACCCTGGATGAAGCTCACGATTGAGCCGAGGTGGCGCAGTGGTTAAATGCAGCACTGCAGGCTACTTCAGCTGACTGCAGTTCGGCTGTTCAAATCCCACCAGGCTCAAGGTTGACTCAGCCTTCCATCCTTCCAAGGTGGGTAAAATGAGGACCCAGATTGTGGGGACAAATATGCTGACTCTCTGTAAACCGCTTAGAGAGGGCTGAAAGCCCTATGAAGCGGTATATAAGTCTAACTATTGCTATTGCTATTGCTA